TGATTGGATGATATTTGATGGTTGGAGGCAATCGGCCACAGGAAGCCCAGCCTTTGACTTAGATTTCGTGCTAGTTGGCACTCACCAGTCAGTCAGCAAAACGTATCTGGAACCTTGAAGGATCAATCGCGAGCCCGAATAGCTCAGAGGTAACGTCTCTGACTGCAGTACTTACCGAGTGACACTGATAGATTACAGTTGAAAAGCATCAGTAAGAGACAGAGAGATGATACGCATCAATATAACACTGAAATCGTTGAATATCAGATGAATTAAGAGAAGTATCACATAATTCATGAATTTTTAGGTTCAAGAGCAGGTCAGAGTAGCAATAGTGACTGGCTGGACCAGCTTCTTTTGCATACAGAGCTCCTGTTTATCAAAGTGAATTGCAATGACCTCTTCTGTTTGAAGTGTTCGATATCTAGAGACCTTCGGTAATTCATCTGATGCCTGGTAGAGGATATAGAAAGACTCTTCTTCAATACTGCTAGTTTTGTAGCCAGTTTGGAAGAGGTGATGCAATATGGAACTGTTAATGGCTTTGACAACACCTTTACTTAACCACACTGACTGGTGTTCCAGAGCACGAATAATATAACCGGACTCCACAGAAGCAGTTGGTAGATTGATAGATACCATTAGATGTGGCTAACCTGAGTACTTCGCAACCTGTTGTAGAGAAAATATAAGGTGCAGTCCGCTTAAACCAACGGCAGCTGTAGCTGTACAGGAAACAGGTCCAGCCAGCCACTATTACTAACCTGACTTGCTCTCGAACCTAAAAATTCTCTCTTACTGCTGCTTTTCAACTGTAGTCTGTCACTGTCATTGATTCAATGTAATTCAAAAAGAACATTAATGTTGTTAGTGAAGATGATTCCTCAATTAATACTGTCAAATAAACGTAGAACCTGATGAAGAAGAGTTTATTGAAAAGAATATTCACTGTTAATTAAAGACAAATTTGTAATGGGCAGTTTTGATCATACTCATATATGAATGATCCCTGCATATTAATTATTACTCGTAACAGTGAAGTTTGAACGGAGATGGAACAAACATTAGTGCAGAATGAAATGGATCCATGTTTATTCTTCCCCAATGTTTGTTCTATCTCTGTTCAAATCTATAAAGTAGAGTTCATGTATAAAATATTGAGGCTTTTGTTAATCCCACTGTTTATATATTTTCTAATATAAGTCAACAGATATATATCCTTGAAAAACTTATTTTAAAAAAAATACGGTTAGAGAGAAAAGAAAATTCTCTTTTACACAAGTTCATTAGTGTTATCCCGACTGACTAAGAAAGACAGAACATCTGGTAAACTCAAGACATCCGACTGCATTTGAAAAATTCCTTCAAATTCCCACACAAGATCTATTCAAACTTCTTAAAGACAGTGAAATCAAGACATCTGGCCACAGATGACGCACAAGCGATCCAAAAGTTCAATACCCACACTTCAGGTATTCAAAAGAAATATACTCAACCTCTGTCTCTATCATGGCTACCAAAGAAAGGCAGTCCCACCAATAAAAATTATCCTGTTACCTTTTTTATTCAATCTTTTTGTTTATTTCTGTAATTTTTACCTTCGTCTTTGTATCACTATTTGCGCTACCGTGTTTTTTATCCAAACTTCTTATCTATTTTGTTATTTCTACATTTTTAATCCCTAATTGTACAAAACGAAGTCAATTTTCTCAATAATTCTAATCCTATTTTATGTTATTCTTCTATCTTCTTGTTTATTCTGTCATTACAACGTTTTAATGTCTTTTTGTAATTTTGTTGCTGAAATGGTGACCGGAAATAGTTGTGAAAGTAGTTCACCCATTTATAATAATCAATACACTAATGTACAGCTGTGTTGATGACTTTGTGTCTGGATGAAAAGAATTTACTTCACTGATATGTCTCCTGTGATTTGATGAGTATATTCCGAGATAGCCATCCAGGTATTTAGTTCTTTTTCATAGTTATACCAAAGATTTATATAGCTGAAAACTGGTTTTTCACTTAAGTTTATTGTAGGTAGTTGTTTTCCAAATTTTATGCACTATATACACTGGCATCCGTTACTGTCGTAAACATTTGTGGTGAGAGCTAGCTGCAGGCCAAAATTGTAAACATCAGTTTACGTCAATGATACGTCCCGAATCGGAGTCATGAGAAAAACAATGACAAAGCTTAACCTTGAGGAACTCACCAATCAATCACAGCAGACTTAACGTGTGCAAATATGATTCGCAGAGATGTGGCTTAACTTTCTAAGAAACGGTCAGAAGAAGTACCGAATAACCTTGAGCAAAAAACAACCAATCAGAAGACGTTGCTTCTCCACTGGCAATAATGCAAATAAAAATCTATAAAGATCTCTTGATTTTTTCAGTAAATTATCTGTTGCCTACCCTTTGTCTTCTGTCGTTACACATTAACTGATGTCATGGTTTTAGTCTTCCTCCTGGTGCAGACTGAATTTTATCAGGCAAGTTTGCAATGTGATTGCCTGATACCATGGTGCACTCAGAAAAGTTGTTATCACTTGACTGGATGCGATCGATAGGAAGCCTTTTACCTAGCTCTCATGCTGGCTGGCACTCACCAGTCAGTTAGGCGCATCTGCAACCTTGAAGGAACTCATGTTCCTTCTGAGCTTCAAACCCGAGTCAGTCTACACCAATGCAAAGGATCAGAAGGACGGAACTGGTTACTAACTAGTGACCGATCAGAGAACCCATCACAGTCTTACAGGAGGTCAATCGTGAGCACGAATAGCTCAATGATTGGAGCACTTGGTGACCTGGGTTCAAATCTTATACGACGTATGAGTTCCTTTAGGATTGCTGACGAGTGCCAATGAGTGCGAAACCCAGGCCGAAGACTTCCTGTCGAACAACAATGTGAGAGTTTACTTTACGAATAATATTAATAAGAGATGAACAGTTTCAAGTCTGACTATGGACTGATATCAGCTAGAGAAACACTAAAAACCAGCAAGGACTACCGGAAAGCTATTTCGTCCTAGTTTGAGACCCGTCATCAGCACACATCCTTCTGAGTTCAAACCCAGGACTTTCTGATTACAAGAAAAGCTGGATGGTCTATGGTTTTCAACTTTTACCCATTCGCCATTTAATCGCGATCATGAATCATTACCTTCGGTGAGTATTTCTTCTCTCTCCCTACCGGCTGGTCAGGATTTTCGACGGTTCTCTGATATCACTTCGTGGCCAAACTTCAAACAGATCAAATCCCTACAAACTAATTAACTCTTGAAATGATAAAAATGAAACTGTTGTTTTCTTTGGTGGTTTTTGTGGAGATAGTTTTAAAATACGTGTTCAACTTCCCATCAGCTTTAGTTAAATCATAATTATTATTTTTACGAGTTTGACCACGGATTGATATCAGTTAGAGAACCATTGGAAAACCAGTAGTGGAGTACTGGATAGCTGTTTCGTCAGTCTAGTTTGGTAATCATAGGCAGTACGCACCCACTCCAACTGGGTTCGAACCCACGACCTTCTGGTTACAAGGCGAGCTAGCTCGTAGACCAACAAGCCGCTGGGACCCGATCCAGTGGCTAGCCCATGATTTCTAACTTCTTCCAATTCAAGACATAGTGCGATCACTTCACAATTTTTTCTTCGATGAGTTACTGCCTCACCTCTAACTTGCTGTAGCCTACTGGTCATGACTTCCCACTAGAAGCTAGGTGACTAACTACCTACCTGAAAAGGGCCAGTCACTAGTCAGCATCAGATTAACTAATTTTCTAGTATTGGTTTTTGTGGGGATTGTGTTTAATTGATTGAAGGGTTTCATCATGAGCTGACATCAGTCAGCCAAACATCAGAAAACCAGCTGGGAGTACTGGACAGCTGTTTCATCCTAGTTTGGGACACCTAATCAGTACGCATCCACCACCAGGGCTGGAACGCACGACTGTCTGGTTACAAGACCATCTCGTAAACAATTAAGCCACTGGGACCAGATCCAGTGACCAGCCCATGAATTCTAACTTCTGCAAATTCTTGATTTAGCGTGATTGGCACCAACCAATGTCATTGGCGGGACATCCACCCTCAGAGAGTTGACTGGATGAGCCTCACTGGTCACGACTTCTCACTAGAACTCCAGGAAACTCCGTTCTGCAGCAAATCACTAGCGAGCATCAGATTTTCAAGAGTTTGGTTTGTAAGGATTAGATTTGCGTATACGAGTATGACCAGGGATTGATATCAGTTAGAGAACCATTGAAAACGAACAGGGAATACTGGCAAGGTGAGCTTGCCATGTAACCGGAAGGTCCTGGGTTTGAATCCCAGTGGGTGCGTACTGCCAATGATTCCTAAAACTATGGTGAAACAGCTGTCCAGTGCTGCAGTACTGGTTTTTAGTGGTTCTCTAACTGATATCAGTCCATGGTCAAATCCGTAAAAACAAATCTAATCCTTACAAACCAACTCTTGAAAATTATTATTGTTATGATCATGATCATTGGAGTGGAAGACTTGTTTCTTGCCTAACCTGAGAAAAATTACGTTAACAATGATTAACAATGCAAAAAGAAAACCGAATTATTTACAGGATATGCATTCAGGCCAGCCATTTTATTGTTTATTTCATATATTGACATTTTTACATGTAAATATCAAACAGACCAATCGCATACATCCTTACTTCTGATTGGTTGTTTGATCTATATATATGTATATATATATATATATATATATAATTACATAGAAATATATTAACCTTATTTGTGTATAACCTCAATAATGTAGACAATATACAATGTTCAGTGGAAGCACATTCATGCGTGCACCACACATTCAATGTTCAATCTATTTTACCAATTTTCGGAAGTAGTTATAAAGTATTAGTCAATCAATTTGAAGTGATAAAACGAAACAAAACAATAAGGGAAATCAACAAAATTATTACCTTTTGTAATTTACAAAACACTTCATCATAATGGTTAAACAGTCATGAAGGAAGATAAAATGCCTGATACTTCTAATGAAAAATTAATTCATGACAGAGAATGTTTAGATACTATACAGTGGAATGTAGACAGACATCATGGTTGGTATACTGGTAAGTTGAAATGTATTCTGCTTTGAATTGGACGCTTTGGACACTTTTTTATTCTTTAATGTGTGGCAGGATGAGGATATTAATTGCTTTAAGGCGTTCCCAGTGGAATATACGGCTTTGACAGCAATGAACACACAGAGTACTTGGTTCACTACTGTCACTTTTAACTGACATCACAACTACCCACAAGCTTTCGTTTTCTTTTAACTTGATCGTAATCAAGTCACTCTTAGAAGGACAACTTATCACTTCTGATTCGAGTTCCATTGGAGACACTAGTGTATAATGTCGGTGTATGTCCAATGAATCACCATTTTCTTTTGTACACGTATTGGGTAATAGATTATTGCACTGTTAAAAACTCTTGGAGCTTATCCTTATCGGCCGACCATATAATCTTCAATTTCGACCCAGAGAAGTGGGAAGCTGCTAATGTGAGTATTGCCGCGCACACCAAGTCTTCAGAAAGCCTACTGAAACAGTGATCTGACATAAGTGTTAAGAATTCGATTGCTGTTCCTTGAGTTGATCGCTGTAGATCCCCATATTGAAGATGAGTAAATAAGAGTTCTCAAACTTAGTTTTGATTTTCTCGTTGATTGATTGACATGCAGACGCCTTGTGTGGATGTTTCCAAGATGTTTGAGGATTAATTTGAAATAAGTTTATGGATGGTGATTAACAGCGGAACCCGGGATTTACATTTCGTCCTACTCGGGACACATTACTTAGATGTACCTGCATCCTCTAGTGAGTAGTAATGTTCCTACTGAAACTCAAAGCTAGTACCCATCGTTTCAAATGCCAAAGGGTTATCCAAAAGACTACTCAGGCCCCAAGAGCCACCTCTTGTGTTCTTTTAAAGTCAGTTTTAGTTTTCCCGCTGATCGATTGGGTCGAGTGATCGACTGACTGACTGACTGGTTTCAACGTAGAACTTTGCACAGATGTGCAGCAGTTCGAGTCGCCACACTTCACTTAGCATACAAAGCAAGAGAAGAGAGTAAAAAGAATTACAAATTAGAGACAATAAACAGAGATATGAGGCAAAAGGAATAGTGATATATGGAAGAACAATAGAACTTTATTGGATATTATAAATCGCAAGGAATGGATCCATCTGCGCCAGCCACTTAGAACGATTTGGAGTCATATTACCAAATTGTCTCCAGCCTTCACTGGTTTTTACCATCCCGAGGAACCCAACCAATCAGGAAGTGTATACCTCCCTACGTGGCTGGCTGGCTCAAACTGAATGTTGTGGATTTCATTGACTGATGAAGCCATGTTTTCGTTTGACCACCATGTGCTATCTCTTTTCCAGACTGATCCATCCTATATCAGCTAACATTGCCCGGCAGCCAAGGAAGGCGATCGATGGCTAGGCATGCAGCTGCTTCACAACATCGTCTATTGATTTCGCTTCCTTACCTAGCACTCGACCAATGTCTAACGTGAATATTGCTCACCCTATTATACCACTTCATACGAAAAATAGGACGCAGACACCTATGATCAAAGACAGCTAGTCGGCATTTTCATGTCTTCCACTTTCAGTGGGCAGGTCTCAAAGCAGTGACCAAACATTTCCGTCGAATCAACCAACGGGAAAATTAATACATCGACTTAAAACATATGATAACTGATGCTAGTTGCCATAAGAGGCGGATGTAGTGGATAACACTTCAGCATCTGAAACGATGGGTGAGAAGTCTAAATCTCAATGAGAACATGATCATTCACTGGGGAATGCTGGTACACCATGTCGACGAGTTTCGAATAGGATGAAATGTACATCCTCGAATACACCGCTAGTCACCATAAACCAAAATAAATTCCAATTTTATAAAAGACAAAATAATCGAGCAAAGAATATTCTTTCTAATAAATTCCTCTTCTGGCTCTACAATTACATATATCTATATATGTTTATATACATGGAATATTCTAGATTAGTAGTCAATAACAATATCAGTGTTTTTTAAATACTATCGACTTGTTAAGTAAGATCAATGGAATTACGGTTCATTAAAAATGTTTAAATTATTATAATAATAATAAAGGTATAGTAGCAAATAGAATATCAACTAAAATTAGGGAAATTTACACAAAAAATTGAGGATTATTCAAACCTGGATGGCAAAAGTAATGATAATGACTGAACTAACTTCTTTACGACGCACAAATTAGGCTTGTTAATATGGATCCCAACAGCCAGCCTCAGCAATATTTAGTAGTCGAACTCTTAAGGTATAATTGAGATTCCTAGGTACACGGTAAATGACCCTGAAAGCACGGTTAACATCAGTCTTGTGTTCTGTACCCACAAGATGAGTGCGATACAATAGCGCTGCGAATAGATTTTGTTTGTCCTTACTTAACCACTATGCAGGATGATGTTTGGAAATTCGACGAGAAACACGCCTAATTGTACGGCCAATGCAACCAACTGGCTCCACAGGAGCAGTTAAATTGGTAGATACACATGGAAGAGGCGAAATTAGGCAGTTTGTCTTTCACTTCCGAACGCAAAAGAGGAGTGGTTTTGAAAGCATCAGTCCAACTCAGTACCATTGTTTTTCTTCCTTAATACTCAAGAAGTGAATAGATGTTCTCTATCCTTTTATTGTTTTTCAACCAGCTCTCTTAATTTTTATACAAATGAAATACACCAAATCGCAAGGAAAAGCAGTTAGTGTTTAGTCAATAAATTGTAGCCAATCTAATCTTTAATCTGGTTTTAAGACATTAGCTTCCCTGACAATTTGCTATAACTACACAAAATCAATGATAACGCATGATGATGAAGAACAGAATACTGAAGGCACTATAGAAAAACATTTCCAATAGTTTCATATAACTTAGTGAAATAAGAGATATACCATAGCTAAAGTTGTTGGCATCATTAACTACGAAAGTTAACTGCTCCTGTGGAGTCAGTTAGTTGCATTGGCCGTACAATCTGGTGTGTTTCTCATCGAATTTGCGAACATCATCCTGCATAGTGGTTAAGCAAAGGACAAACAAAATCTATTCGCAGCGCTATTGTATCGCACTCATCTTGTGGGTACAGAACACAAGACTGATGTTAACCGTGCTTTCAGGGTCATTTACCGTATACCTAGGAATCTCAATTTCGCCTTAAGAGTTCGACTACTAAATATTGCTGAGGCTGGCTGTTGGGATCCATATGAAGAAGCCTAATTTGTGCATCCAGAAGAAGTTAGTTCAGACATTGTCCTTACTCCTTGGCCATCTAGGTTTGAATGATCCTGAATTTTTGTGAAAATCTCCTTAATTTTAGTTGATATTCTATTTACTAATATCTCTTTATTATTATTATTATGATTAAAATTTAAGCATCTTTAATGAACTGTAATTGCATTGGTCTTACTTTACAAATCGATATTATTTTGAAAAAAAATACTAATATTGTTATTGACTACTAATCTAGAATATTCCATGTATATAAACAGATATACATATATATATATATATATAAATGTAGAGCCAGAAGAGGAATTTATCGAAAAAAATATTCTTTGCTCGATTATTTTGTGTTTTAATGATGTTTTTTTGTTTGTACATTCTTTTCACGTGCTTAATATTCCCTCATAATTTGAGTTATATAACTTTGTGACATGGGCTTCTGATAAAGTTTATCAGTAGTATATAAAGAGATATTCGTTCGCACAAAAACAGCAAATAGCAGAGAGATAGATTTGATTCTCATAAAGAGCAAATGAACCAGTATTTATGTTCGCCTTATATGAAATCTGTCATTTTGCAGAGATCTTTCATGTTGTCCTACTTCTGTACTTCCTTCGTATTGTGTTTCTTTGTCTTCTTTTGGTGTCCTCCGTGTTTTGCCACCATGCTAGTTCATTTCGTCACTTTGACGTTGAATCTATCTCTCTGCTATCTGCTGTTTATGTGCCTATGAACGTCTCTTTATATACTACTGATAATTCCTGTCAGTAGTACATGCCACAGTGTAGGTTGAAAAGGTGTAAAGTACAAATTAGATGAGAATACATTAGTCAGGATGTTTAGAGATCATAGTCAGTGTAGTTGAAAACTACAGTGGAGACTACTCATGAGTAAGATAATTTGTATATGAAATGAGTATTCTAGGGATAATAGGAATAGGGAAATGGTTGAACACATTCACAGTGTGTCAATTCAAACACTAAAAGAACTTGACTAGCTAAGGTGTAGTAATTAAAGTAGAATTTAAGAAAATACGTGACCAACTCATAAGAACATAACTAACCCTTACAAACCAAACTGTAGAAAACTAATCTGACGCTCGCTAGTGACTTGCTACACGACAGAGTTTCCTGGAGTTCTAGTAAGAATTCGTGATCAGCGAAGTCCATCCAGATGTCACGTGTGAGAATGGATGTCCCACCGACGATTTTGGTTGGGGTCGTGCTGAATTACGAATTGGTAGAAGTTAGAAATCATGCGCTGGTCAGTGGATCGGGTAGCAGTGGCTAAGTGGTATACGAGCTTGTCTGGTAACCGGAGGGTCCTGGATTAGAACCCTGGCGGTGGGTGCATGCTGCCGATGATTCCCAAACTAGGATAAAACAGCTGTGCAGTACTCCAGTGCTGGTTTTCAATGGTTGTCTAACTGATAACAATCCGTGATCATTTCACAGAAGCATAACTAACCCTTACAAACCAAACTAAAGGAAATACAGCAGAGTTTGAGAAATATTGTTTAAAAATAGGATGAATGATTAGGCAATGATATGATGTCTCAATTTTGCTTTGTCAAAAGACTACAACTTCAATTATCAGATCACTGAAAACAAGGAAGTAGTGAATAGTTATTTTGCCCTATTTATAGACTCTTCAAAAGTACGACCCTACAACCCCAGTAGGGATCGAACTCAGCACCTTTAGGATATACGAAACCAAGTTCGGTGGCAATTCAGCCACATGGGCTGGAAGGCAACAGTAAAGAATAGGCACCACGGTCGAATGACCTTGAG